TACAGAAAATGATTCTATACAGAAACAGCGCAGAAACTGATGCTAAGTCGATCGATGTAATAAAGGGTGAGTTTATCTCAAGCCCTTTTGAGTGTTTTTACATCCGCGCAAACATAATGTACCCTTGTAGGGTATCACAAATAGGAAAATAATATTCGGCCAGCAGAATTTGACACGTCGTTGAATCTTCCATCTTGGTGTTGCTGCAAATGTGCCCCTGTTCTTCGGTCAGATAGAGATAGGAACAGAAAATGGTTATTGTAGTTAAAGATAAGATGACTTGTAAGTCGCAAATTGTATAGAATATAAAAAGGTATTGAACATAATTTTGGCCGCATTTCTCCACCGAATTTTACTCACAAAAATGGCGAACAAATGGGGAACAAAGCAAGCTCAGGTCTATTTAATTTAGCTTCTATGTCACTTCATATAAGGAGATAAAAACATTTTTGCCATTCAGACTTAGACTGCTTTCCAAATGTACGGAAGGTTGGAAAAAGTATTTTTAATTTCTTTCATTTCTTTAAGTAAACGATCGGTATTCATTCAGCTGGTCAACCAGTAGCGCAACAGCGTCTTGGCAATCAGACGAAAGGAGGCCGAATCTTATAGACTAGACACGTTCAAGTGTCTTTAGGCCTTCCTACAAAGTGACGAAATCGAATCAAGAGTGCAATCAATTGCGAAGAAGACAAGTAAAATCAAGATGTAGTGGGTCATCTATTTTCTCTTGAGAGAGATCATTCTTTATATATAGGTTAAGGGCTATTGGACAAATTACTTCTTTCTCTTATTAATTACTTCTTAGTGACGACTTAATTGCATTCTAAACGATCCAAAAACTGTGCATTACTGCCATGGCATGTGGTAAGCTGTAATTGTAGCTAAAAATAAATATTAGTTTTTAACTTAATAATTGATAGGAATGGAAGAAGAAGAAGAAGAAGAAGAAGAGACCGTTTACACTCATCTTGACAAATCGTGTTCTTGCAATTGTAGTAAAATCTCAGCTATATATAGAGTGCACATACCATTATCGTACGAACTTAAATAAACAATGATTCATTTTGAAGATGAAACGGAATAAGAAGAAGAAGAAGCAAAGACTGCATGCAATCTTATATGCATCTAAAGTTTAAAAGACGAAAATGAATTAAATTTAGGTTTATTTTGCATAAATTGTTTTTTGTTGTCGTTGCTTTTTCGAAAATTAAACAGCACTTATCCTTGTGTCAATTAAAATGCTATTTATAGTAAAAGCATGGATTTAATACAAAATCTTCATCTTATCCGTTGTAATGCTCATGTTACGTACAGATATCCGTTGCGTTCAACATATGCATCCATACATACATACACACAATTGAAGGCAATCATTAGAGTATGAATCATTGTGACTGCTTTATGTGTATTCAGCATCAAAAGGATGACGGTATGTTCATTTTGTCACAACATTTTACAATATATAAACATATAAATCGGAAATCTTGCCAAGTGCATGTTTATTCGTGTGTGTATTCGCCGCTCTGTTCGACTGTAAGTTTTTTATCTGCTATACTTTTCAAATCGTGACAGATGTTTTGGAAGAAAGGCTTGACATGCCGTTCAGCATTTTTCAGGCTGGAATCACATTAGTTTTGGTCAGTCCTTGGGATCCTAGATTGGTAATAAGATCCTTTTCGTCAAAGCGAGACCATTCTAAAAACTCTGCTTTTTTTTGCTTACAATTCTACACTTAGCCACTTGAAGACTTTTCTGTGCATTTAGATAGGAACAAAAACGCCACGCAACTCTCGAAAGGAAGGTCACGAAAGTGTCAAGAACGCACTGTGGAGGCTCTGCCATCCACTGCATCCGAAGGAACTTGTCCTGTTTTAGATTTTCCCAACAACAAAAACCTGTCATACTCTCAACTCTAACCACCATTTCTCTATCCATCACAATATCACACACACACACACAAAGAATATTACCAGCATGAACAAGAGATATTATTTGTTTTTTGGAAAGAGAAACCTTTTCCTGCCGGCTTTCGCCTGATAAAGATGTTATTGAACTAACTTTGAGCAAATGATTAGAATGGAAGACTGGTTCAAACTGCTCCCAATAGTTGAAAACATCAAAATGAATTTTAAAAACTTTGGAAATTTCGTTATATCGGGAGCATTAAACTTCTGTTTATATAGCACTTATGATTGATAAAACCAGGCATGACGAATCTACAAACAGTGCGAATATTTGCCCCCATCACTGTTTTATACCCTGCTCTACTACAAGAGGTGCATGAAGTTTCGTGGGAGAAGGACTTGAAGTAGACACTCCTTTTACTATACCAATCTGACCTTGTCTGTCCATCTGTCCTTCTGAATAGATCGGTACTCAAATCGCTCTGGTCGTTACAAGCGTAAGCACAAATTTAATGTATCTGCATTTCAAGCGATTTAGGTTTTATAGAAAAGTCAATATCGATCCGAAAATATGGTTTACATTTAACAAAAAAATTTGTAATTAAGAAAACTATTTTTCATTTTAACTCTTTCTGTTCTACTATTTAATTACTAATTAAGTTAACAAATAAACAAATGACTCTGATGATGGTAATAAGTTTTGTTTATGGCAAAAAAAATGCACTGGAAAAAAACGAGGTTTTTTTTTTAAATTAATTGAAGCAAAACAAACTCTGTCGTAACAGAGAGGCGAATTTTTAACAAAATTCCACTGCATTGCCAGAAGTTTGCAATGAAAGGCGCTGACAACTTAAGGCACCTAATGGGTAGTTTGCAGGGAAAAACAAAATAATAAAAATTTGCCATATGGCGTTGCTAGTAGCATTGTTGTCGATTTTGAGGTCAATTGCGTTGGGCGAAGAAGTTTACGGTGCCAAACAAAATATTTGTTCCAATTCAAATTTTTTTTTTAATAAAACTTGTAACCGTCGTTTTTTTTCTCTATAAAATCACTGTTTTTTTTCAAGTTTTTATTACATTTTCGTACAAAATGGAAATTGAAAATTTGCATTCCCAAGCTTTGAGCCAGGGAGAGGAGAATGAATGGAGTATTAAATGAAACTAACGAGCGAAAAATAAAAGTACAGAATGACAGTTATATGTATCTTGTTGCCTACTTTTACAATTCCGGGATATTGAAAAACGCCAAAGGATTCAAGACAACATCCGTCATTATGAACAGCCGTCATTTTAACACCCGTGAAATTGTTCGTCCGTTGACCTGCTAAGATTTTACAAATTTAAAGAAAAAATGCGATTTCTTTTTACAATGTTTGCTAACGACCTATCAAAGTCTGATCTAACGCGATTATTCTTCTCGCCAGTTTCCCCTTAGATATACGCATTATTCGATTAGATCCATTGTGATTAGGTTTATGTTTTTTCTTGTCCACTAATTAACTGTAATAACCTGTTCTCTTGTAAACTAGATTCAACACCATTTTATACATATATTTTTAAGGCTTCTCTTATATCCGTCTATTGTTACATGTCATCCGGTGTTTATCCTTACACCACTTGAGATACAAGGGTTATGCATTCAGCATCCGGAAGGACTTGAAACAGACCTATCTTTTATTATATCGATCGATCCAGGATCACTGCGGGAATCGATCTAAGCTTGCAAGTCCGTCTGTCTGTCTTAGTGTTCAACCTACACGTCGCAAGTTTGGAGATATCTCAATGAAATTTTGTACACTGACATGCTTTGGCCCGAGAACAAACGCTATTAAAAATGTTTCGAATCGGACCACTTTTTAGACGTCCACGTCCATTATAAGGTCTTAAACAACTGTATTAAATGAAGTGGTGTAGAGCAATTAATGGTGGGCGGCGGGCATCCCATTCTAGTGTTTTCACTTGTTATATTTACACCTTTCACTTGTTGATATTTATTTCCTCTTCATGCGATGCTTCTTTGACTTTGAAGAAGTAGTTTTTATAAATAAGGCTTTTTTCGATCATTTTCCAAGTGTCGAGCTCTCTCGGTCCATTATGAATTTCTTCGTACATTATCCGTTAACAGGTAGCTTTGCATTCCAGTCATTATCCCTTATCATGTCATTTGCTCGTTACATACTTTCGTAAAACTTGTCGTTTATTCATTATCCATTATCTACTATTTTTACGCTTGAATTTTTTTCTTAGTTACACAAAAGGTGAACGCAAGTTGATCACTACCGTCATAAACATACGTACTAATCTGTTTTTTTTTTTATAAAAATGCCTTTGTTTAAATGTAGAACGCATTTATAAGTATGTGTATGTGCACTTGTAACTTTTTAATCCATTATTCAGACTCAAACATAAAAAACATACGGACAATGTCAGCATTAACTGCACATAAGAATTCCTCTTGCATTTTGCCTTTCCTTTTTGTATACTCGCCCCCGTCGCCCACCTCATGGATAAATGATGATGGTGGCAGATAACAGATTGTGATAAACTAGGTTACAAATATCATCAGCAGCGCTTGAGTGTAGTCAACAAATCAAACCGCAACCGCAGTCAACAACATGTAATGCAAACAACTAACAGAAAGCTTCGCTACTATAATACAAAAAAAAAAAAAACGTACAAGACAAACAATCGCAATGGATTTGTTATACTTGGATCAACTTACGAGAGCGTTACATATGAATGCAACGTATAAATGTATATTTGCATATAACATGTATACGTAATTAAGTTTATGAATACAGTTTCATTGGGATAACAAGTGTTAAGTTACATTTTTGTTGTTTATCTTCACTTTATCTTTAAAAATATACTATACCGAGTGGCTTAACAGCTTGACCTGAACTTTGTTCAGGAAAGGGGAAATCGGATGTGACGTCGAAAAATCGAAAACGTTTTATACGAGTTCGATTATAGTCGAATAATGAAACGCGTTCCTTTTTTATTCTATATTTTAGACAAAAGTACAGATAGCCAGAACTTTTTATGTAAGGCACGTAGATAACTCATAATATGTTTAAATTTGTTTCATTTTAGGTTTTCCAAACGTTATGAGCTTCCACTTCTCGTCCAAAGTGTTGTGATGAATATAACCATGTTCCTAATGATACATTTGTGTGTCAAGGTGAAACGTGTTAATGCCAATAAGAGAGAGCGCACATTTTCAGGTTAGATTTTAAACTTTTTTTTTTTTTTTTGTTTTTTTTTTTAACTAACATTCACGCATTATGCGAATTTGTGCACTTTTTTATTTAAAAAAGGCGATGACTTACGTTTGCCGAAAGTGACAATGACAGAGACCGATACAGCGGGTTCCGTGTCAATATCAACAGAGGCCGGAGCAATGAAGCGAGTACGTTCTCGTCATTATTTAAGCGGTATATAATGTTGCCACATGCAAATGCATATGATAAGTTCTTTAATTGTTTCTTACTCTTGCAGATCTCGATTTGAAATACTTTTGGAATTGGACTGATTTTCAATCCTATTTGGATTTTATGCTTTTGGTTTGGGCTGTAGGAGCAGCTATTACATATCTAATGCTATCCATAGACTGGTTTATGGAAACCGTTGGTTTTGTGGCAGTCTTCACGGAGGCTATGTTAGGTAAAAAATAAATAATTTTGAAAAAAAAAAAAAGTCTACAAACGCCACCTTACTTGCTTATCTTATCAATCAAATGGTTTTTCTGTATGTTACATTATGTGTTCCAGGAGCGCCTCAGTTCGTACGTAATTTTAAAAATAAATCAACATACGGTATGAGTATACATATGGTCATCATGTGGACGCTCGGTGATATGTTTAAGACTGGCTACTTTATAGCAAGAAAAGCACCATCTCAATTTTGGATATGCGGCACATTGCAGGTGAATGCTATGTCCTTTTCTTTGGTCACTTACTTAATATTATTTAAATTCTCCTTTAAAGGTAAGTTTGGATCTTGCGATACTGTTACAGGTGTGGGTGTATCGTCATAATTCTAAGCCTCGTGATGTGCATCGTGGAGATTAGCAGTTCGCCCCCGAAGAACAACAACAGCAACAACAGCAACAAAATCACCTCAATAACACGCATTCACATTCAAATAATAATTCGGGCAGTCGAAATCAATCCATACCGAACACTATTAGCAGCGGTAGTGGCGACGACCATTTATTGACAGCTAATGCAGATGATGACCACTTCCAGCATTTAAATTATCATGCCGAATATAAAAACTATCACGATAACCGTGCTTTTCAATTCTACAATAACAATTCGTTAAGCCAGAAACAAAAATCTGCGACAGATGCATCAATTAACGAAACAGACAGCCATGTCCTGGATGTTGTAACAGTACATTGCAGCAGTTATCAAGGCAAAGACTTCGATGGTGATAAATTATCGAATACCGCCCAAATTAGTAACTTGCGTTCCTATGAAACGCGTAAGCGTCATAATGCTACTCAAACACCGAGCGGATTTGACATGTGGAAACACGATCTTTATTGTCGAAGCAATCACTCCCACTTGTCTTGCTGTTGCCACAACCACAAACGGAATGTGAGAGGCTCAACAGGCGATAGTTACGCTTCCCATGCTGACCGGCATTCGCAAGATTTCTGTCGCCTTTCGCCACATACGCATTCATTGCATCATCATTATCCCGTTTTGGCAGGGGGAACGGTCAGTGACTGTACTTATTACAATGGCAAATGGTCCTGCGGACAATGTTCTCGACATAAACTAAGCTATTCAGTGGGACACCATCATTATCATCAACGTCATCACCATCGGTGCCATCATCATCACGTTCATAAAAAAACAAAACCTACGGGACATCTT